TCCGCTATGACCAAGGACAAATATGGAATTTTGCCTTCGAAAAATGTCGGTTTTCACCTATCAAAATGAAGATTTCACCTATCGAAGGTCGGTCCAAACAGACAGTAAATGCGGATCAATGATCCTGTTTACATGTTTTTCTTGCTGAAAAGAAAGGAGATTTAAGAACAGAAGTCGGGCGATGAGGATTTGGACCAAAAAAATCGGTAGAAGAAAGAAAATTCACCAGAGAATGGGGGTATCAAGATGTCATGCCCTTGCAACCGCAGATTGCAAAAGATCTTTTTTTGGGCTTCCGTTTTGGGCATCTTTTTTTGGCCCCTTTTCTAGTTAGGACATGTCTATCCACAAGATGCCTGAAAGGAATCTGAAATAGGTCTGAAACCATAACCAGCCACACACTAAAGGTTTTTTTTTCCTGGAAGAATCCAGGAAAATAGAAAGAGATGTATGGAGGTGGACATAGGTGACATATGATGACAAATGGTTACATGTGGTGACTCGGAAATCGCCCATGAAATTTAGACGATTAAATATGGATTTGATGTCTAAATCATTTCAAGTCCATTTTGGGTGCCCTTTTCCCATCATCTACGATTCAATGTACGTAGCTAAGATTAAAAAACTTTGTTCAAAATCATAATCATCGCCAAGCATGAACCGGCAGGAACCAGGAACCGGAGAAGGTTTCTATATTAATAATCGAACCGACAAAAGGTTCAATTACTAAAAATTAAACCGGATCGAACCGATTCGAACCGTAGTCTTCCTGTCTATTTGGCATTCTATCTATCTGGCATCTATTCTGGCATTCTATCTGGCATCTATTCCGGCAGGCGGATTGAAGGAAGGAAGGAAGGAAGGAAGAGTCACACCTTGAGTTAAAATCTAGAGGCCCTCATCTGGCAGGTGGGGAAAAAATGACCATAAAGTGCCCCCCCGTTTCACTAGGACACGCACAGTTCCCCCATCAACAAAGCACAACGGATTTCTGGTTGGATTTTCATGGTTGCAACCGTTTAGGGGAATTGATTTCCGACATTAAAGGGCGTATCTGAAAATGTAATGAGAACATTATGATTACCCTCTGGTAATTTGCTACATAGCTATTGAAAATGATCATTTATAGTGGATTTACACACTAAAAATGGTGATTTTCAACAGCTATGTTAGTTTACCAGAGGGTCATCAATCACTGGATTCAAGGGTACCCCACTTTCGTTGAACTCCCAAGTCGTGCAGCACATGCCGAACAAACGCATGTAGAACATCGTCATTGGCCAACCAGAAAGAAATGAATTTCCCCAGAAATATACGAGAAGGCAATGGCAAACCAAACTGGTTGGTGGTTTGAACCCCTCTGAAAAATATGACTTTGTCAGCTGGGATTATGAAATTCCCAACTGAATGGAAAGTCATAATCCAAATGTTCCAAACCACCAAGCAGCAAACCTCATTTTCATTCATTTCCTTCTCCGTTCACCCCATTCCTGGACAAAAATTGACCCAGAAATCCTCAACCAATTTTGGTCCAATAGGTCAGATTAAAGTTAGCCATGACAGGGCTTATGTCCCAACTCAGTTGTAAAAAGATACCATGGTTCAACAGCTAAACAGTATTATCCCATTGATGAACCATCATCATTAAGTGGTTAAACATTATTATCCCATTGATGGTTCAACAGTTAAATATGGTCTGTACCTATACCGTAATAGTATAATAGTAATTAGTCTAGTGATTATTTCATGATTCTATTGATGATCCCAAAAATAATAGTGTGATAAACTTTATAAGCCCGTATAATCAGTCAATCCCATAAAAAATCAGCACTTAGCACTTTACTAGGTCGCCCGGAAGTCAACCCACCTTGCACAGGATCCTCCATGGCTGAGCTGTTTATTGGTTCCAGCGCAACGGCGCAAGGCGAGGTGTGAAAAGATGGGAAGATTGGTGATCGATAATCAGATATACTACCCATATAATAGATGTATAGATATAGATATTCATAGATAGTATATACTAGTTTCTGATTTACTACATATTAGTATACTTTTAATGATTAATATATAATGTACACAGTTTGGGCATGAAATTGCATGATATGTTTGAAGCATGGATAGTCTGAATTTCTGCAAGTACTTCAGATTGCCGACAGTTTTTGTGCATGATGCTGTCAAGATTACTACCCTACTTGAGTGGCAATGGCAAGGAAGGTGAACGCTGTTTAAAAAATCGAGTCGTATCGAGTAAAACAAACCCCCAAATGGGTCCTACTGCGAAAATCTAAACTGCCCCCTCAAAAGCCGATGGTTCGCCCATCAATGGTCACACCCAAACATGTGACAGCAACTGTTTCAAGTTCACGCCTAAATTGCCGACATGAACCCAACTTTTCCCAAAAAAAAACTGTTGGGCAAAACATGTTAGATAACTCAAAATATGCACTTTCAAGTCATTTCGATTGGATTGTTCCATCACCGCTGGTTCCTCTTGGCCAGTCACCCCACTTCCTGTGGATGAAACTGATAGCTGCCCAATCCCAACCAATTGGAATTGTCGAATTGTCCAGTCTTGATGTTAGATCACCTACCTCTCTAAGTATGCCATCCAAATCGCCCTGAACTTCATGTCCAATCATAAAATATCCACATCGGTTCAAAGCAGGAATCGTACACAAATCGGTTTACCCAAATTTGAACCAACCTGATTTTTCCTACTCAAAAAGACAAGGCCACGCACGTACCACATAACCATCAATCGCTAAAACACACTGAAACCATTGGGTCGGTTATAAAGTGTTGCCCGGTAAAAAGCTGATTTTGATCACATTGGGTTTTTGAATTCAAAGTTGTTCACGATTTCAATATTGCATCGCTTTCGAATGCTTTCGAAGACGTGTCCACTTCATAGGTTTTCCCCAACTTCTTCATATAATGTTTGAAAAATAAAGAACTGCTCTCATATGTCAATTACCATCTGGTTATTTAACATAGCCATGGAAAATCCACCCATTTTTAATAAGCAAACCATCTATTTCGATTAGGGCCATCGAAAAACCATGGCTATGTTAGTCATAACCAGAGGGTATTCCATTCATCTTTGTTGAATTTTGTCTATGAATTCCCATTATTTATAACCATGGTTGTCCCATATATATTTCCCAGATATTTCCCAGATATTTCATGGGTTATTTGACAGTTTGCCATGGAAAATCCACCTATTTTTAATAGGTAAACCACCATTTCTCCATGGTTTCGCCAAAAAAGATGCTTCACAAAGGGACAGCAAGGTCAGGTGGGGATGGGACAACTCAACACACCTTTTTTAAAAAATGCGAAAAAAAAAATGGCCAGAGTTAAATAGTTGGTATTTTCCCATAGAAATATATATATAGTTGGTTTATGATGTTAAAAGCTATTAGAATCTGCTTGGATCTGCTTGGTGGTTTCCACCTACCCCTCTGAAAAATGATGGACAACTCGTCAGGTGGGATGATGAAATTCCCAAGTGAATGGAAAGTCATAATCCAAATGTTCCAAACCACCAATCAGATAAATAAGTTCAAATCTACTTTTTAAAAGTTGGTTGGTGGTACAAAAAAGCGATCTCTTCTTCCGGCAATGGAAAATCAGTCGCTTCTTTAAATCGGCAAATCATCAAACTGTTCATGGGCAGTTAGGCACTTAGCAAACTGTGAAATTACCAGAAGGTAATCCCTTCCCCCATCCATATTAAACACCCCCGTTCAATCGAACCATGGTGGATTTTTCGGGAATTTCCACCATGCTTATGGGGTGTTTACCCTCTGGTAAACTAACATAACTATGGAAAATCACCAGCTTTAATAGGTAAATCAACTATAAATGGTTCATTTTCCATAGCTAACTGTTAGTTTACCAGAGGGTAATATGAACAGGTGATGAGATTATATCAAATTTGCTCGGAAATACCTTCTGGTAAACATGCAAAAAACTATGGAAAGATCCACCATTTTATGGGTAAATCCATGTAAATCCACTATTTCCATGGCCCATGTTCAATAGCAAACTGTAAACGTTTACCAGGCCGGGTAAGCCATCTTCAGCCATGTGGACCCCCATCTTCAGGCGACTTTCTGACTCGTGCCCATTTTCTCAGCTGACCGCGGAGCGGTCCACGTGGAGTCAGGGTCACCACGACAACCAGTTCACCTGGACAGCGGAGTTTTTGGCGTCATGGATCTGGTGATTTCTCTGTTGAAAGTTGGTATTTGATAGTACTATATAAAGAGGGGATTTATAAAGATGGTATAATCTGGGTAAATTATAATATTTCACTAACCTGAATTAAGGCCATTTGGGGATGATTTCCAATACTAACCATTATTCCAGTGAGGTTGCAGTGAGGTCGTTATAATTTACCCAGATAATATAATGTGGTATAAATACCAACTATGTTATACAATAAAAGATCATAAAAGATGGTATTATATAATGTGACAAGGGGGTACTAAAATGATGTTCCATACAATGGTGTCCCATAAAATGCCATTGGGATCCCATATCATGGGATACTACTGGGACAATAATAGGACAATCATGGAACATTCACGCCATAGGGCTTTTGGCATGAAATAAATTCATGCGGTATGACTCGATATGACTCAGAAGATCTATGGCACCCTCTATGGCTTTGCTCGTTTTGAATATTCAGCGGTCAAACTTATTCTGAGTCAAGTGGTTAATAACTAGGCTAGTGGTTCATCATGGTGAAATTGGTTGAAAAAAATGAATAGTGGTTAGACTATCTTAGTCATTCTTCACCATTCACCCAAGTTTTAAAAAAAATGCCACGCAACATGTACACGACCATCCCACGATGTCGACCCTCAGTTCCTCGATCCGAACTGTGCTTCACTGGTGGTTTCAACCTACCTACCCCTCTCAAAAATGATGGACAACTCGTCACTTGGGATGATGACATATATTCCCAAGATATGGAAAGTATTGGAAAGTCAAAAAAATCCATGGTTCCAGTCACCACCAACCAGTTCATTTCATATCAGTTCCTCCCGGAACAAATCGTCGTTTCCAACCTGAAATGTGACGGAAATCCTTGGTTGTACTGGCACCCGTTTTTACATGGGATAACCCATGTTGGGGACTTGCAAACTGGGGTTATGAATCTGTTACTAAGTGGGATGATCCTGCATGTACGGGCCAAATTTGCTAAATGTTTGCAGCCGTGAAATAAAGATGTACCCGTTCAAAACGACCAGATTGAACGGCGGCATACGAAGAATCGAATCTAGTGGGAACTCTATCGAAAAGTTAAGAAGGTGATTCCTGACTCTGTCCAGTCCAGGAACAGCTCTACAAGCTAGGCACGGAACAGAAGTTCAGATAGGAACGAGTACTTGGATCTGCATCCCACACATCGTAAATGGGTTATAATCATTTATGATCCATATTATATATATATATGGTTGGTGGTTCAACCCCTCTGAAAAATATGAGCGAACGTCAGTTGGGATGATGAAATTCCCAAGATATGGAAAAATAAAATTCATGTTCCAAACCACCAACCAGATATATATATATATATACACAGGATGGGGCCCCCAAGATAGCTAAGTTGCCTTATAAGTGGTTTAACTACGGTTTATGATAGATATAACTATACTTAATGGGGATTCTAATGGTTTATAAACCAACTTATAACTGGGGGGGGGCCATTCTGTGTATATATATATATACAGTATATAACCCCTATTTCATCTCATATAATCCAGTGGGGATATTCCATGGGGGGGCCATTTACGATGCGGATGCACTGCCCAGTTTTTTCATCACGGCCTTCCGCGAGTCGTCCTGGCTAAAGGGGCCATAAAACGAAGCTGGGGGAAGACCAAAATTCTCATTGAACCAGCTTTAACCATGACAAAATAGGGATTTCTGGACTGAACCATCAAAATGTTGTTGCCCCACAGCAAAAAATGGTCACTGGGTGAACGATTGGATTTATGGTATATCTATCGTTAGGTTTGTAAATCATCTTACAACTGGTGGACCAAAAGTGGAAGAAAATCCTGCACTAGTTGATAGGTTGGTTTTTCCCATTACTTATAGGGTTTCAACCATCCTTTTGGTGGTGCAGGATTTCGCAACATCCACAGTACGGAGGGCTGAAGCAAGTTACAGGGATAGATGGTGAACTGCTTGATGCTTTGTTGGGGTTGTGTCCTGATATTTTCTGTGAACCCAACACAAGAAGTTTTCTGTCAAGAATAAGGGGGGGTCAAACGGTCAAAACCAAGTAGAATTGGGGGTACAACCAACATCAACCAAATATATATATATATATTGTATGTATGTGTATATATATATGTGATATTCAAATCACCTAACTGCTATTATTTCCTAGTGATGTTGTTCCAAGTTTTTCGTATCATTTCCTCAGTGGGATCACCAACCAATGGATGGAGATGGGTAGCTCTGGATGGAGGCTATGACCTGGAAAACCCCTGATTTGATGCTGAAACTTGCCATGTTCCCCTCTAAACTTGCCATGTTTCACCAAAATGTCCCATTGAAATTGCCATTCTTCACCAATTTCACTGATTTTTAAAGTCCTATTTTGGTTGGGTTGGCCTCCATTTCCAGACCACATGTTCAACAAGCCAGAGCAACATCCATGTGCTCGCTCGACAACTGGCAGCGGTGAGTCCATCACTGGAGCAGTTTGAACTGCTCTGTTTCACCAGCGAAAAGGAGACTATATAAATATAAAGCCAAAACGGGTTTGCTCCACAATCAAGAACCAAGGGGCAACAATATTGTCATGGCGAGTACGTAAAATATTTGCCTTGATTAAGCAGTTTCCAAGACTTCTTGGGATTAGTTTGTCACGAGTGAGATTCCCAACATGCTCACAAAACACAAGCGAAACTCGGAAGCTCAACTATTAAGCACATATTGATCCCTATTTAAAAATAAAAATAAAAAGGCACATGCTAGCAATGTACAGTTGAGCAGGCGTGAGTTTTCCCAGAAATCATAAAAATACATGTATGTATATATCTGGATAAATTACAATAATTCACTAATCTGAAATGTTGGGCTATTTTGTGATGATTCCCTATACATTCACCATAATTCCAGCGAAGGAGAACAGTGAGGTCGTTATAATTTACCCAGACATATACATATATATATTATTTATTTGTTTGTTTATTTATTTATTTATTTGTTTATTTATATATATATATGGAGGTTTCCTAAAATAGAGGGGGTACTCATCCATGTTCATGGGATTTTCCATTATAAACCATCCAGCTATCCGATACCCCCATTTATATTATCGTTATGAGTCTTCGACCTCCGCCTTTCGTCCGCAGTGGTCGATGGTGGATGGTGGCTGATCTTCGATAGCAAAGAAAATTCTCAGAAAAGCCAACGAAAATTAGCAGAGTAAAAGAAGTGAGACGATAAGAGAGTAGAATGGAAGTAGAAGAGAATAAACATAAGAGGAATATAATAGAGATGAGGAGAATAGAATAGGAAGAGATAATATCGGTATACTATTGATAGAAGGGGAAACAGAGAAGGTCATAGAGGAGATTTACAGTTTGAGAGCTATACGATCTGAGAGGATGATATCTTAGGAGGGCGCGGAGAGAGAGGAGAGGGGCTGAGGAGCGAGGAGAGAAGAAAAGATAGAGGGAGAGAGGGGAGGAGAGGGATGAGAGAGAGGAAGGGAGATAGTAGGAGAGAGAGGGAGAGAGAATGCGAAGAGAGGGAGAGAGAGGAGAGAGAGGAGAAGAGGAGGAGGGAGAGAAGAGAGAGCAGAGAGGAGAGAGAGGAGAGAGAGGAGAGAAGAGAGAGGAGAGGAGAGAGAGGAGAGGAGAGAGAGGAGAGGAGAGAGAGAGAGAGGAGAGGGAGAGAGAGAGAGAAGAGAGAAGAGAGAGGAGAGAAGAGAGAGGAGAGAAGAGAGAGGAGAGAAGAGCGAGGAGAGAAGAGAGAAGAGAGAAGAGAGAAGAGAGAAGAGAGAGGAGAGAAGAGAGAGGAGAGAAGAGAGAGGAGAGAAGAGAGAGGAGAGAGGAGAAAGGAGAGAGAGGAGAGAGAGGAGAGGAGAGAGAGGAGAGAAGAGAGAGGAGAGAAGAGAGAGGAGAGAGGAGAGAGGAGAGAGGAGAGAAGAGAGAGGAGAGAAGAGAGAGGAGAGAAGAGAGAGGAGAGAAGAGAGAGGAGAGAAGAGAGAGGAGCGGAGAGAGAGGAGCGGAGAGAGAGGAGAGAGAGGAGAGAAGAGAGAGGAGAGGAGAGAGAGGAGAGGAGAGAGAGGAGAGGAGAGAGTAGGAGGGAGTATCTAGAGTGGGAGATTAGATAGGATTTGAGGAGGGAGGATAGGCTATTATATTAGATCTATACGATATTCGCGAGATGAGAAGGAGAGGAGAGTATAGGAGAGTATAGTACATTAAGAGGAGAGGATATATATATTATATTATATATATTATATTATATACATTATATTATATATATATTATATTATATATATTATATTATATATATTATATTATATATATTATATTATATATTATATTATATATATTATTATATATATATTATATTATATATATGCCATTACTTTCAGCCGGTTTTTGACTTTCCAATGAAAACTACGGAGAGATTTCGCCTCCCAGTTTTCAGACTTAACGATGTAAACGCTGCTCAGCCTGTAAACATATCATTTCAAAGAACCGAAGGTTCTAGGTATGAGCCATGCTAGTGATCAGTAAGTGGCTAGTAACCATAGGTAGTATTGCAGTTAGATGAAGATATCCCTTTCCCCTATTGAATACTCCAAATGAGACTGTTGGTGCAAGATGGTGCATCTGTTCATGGCAAATAAGTGGCCGGAGGGTCACACTGCAACATGATAATGATACCCTCTGGTAAACTAACATAGCTATTGAAAATGGCCATTTATAGTTGATTTATCCATATTTATCAATTAAAAATTGTGATTTTCCTAGTTTTTTGTATGTTTACCAGAGGGTAATGGATCATTCATCCTATACAACCCCAAATTCTTCCATATCTCTTCAGTCCCTCCATCAAACGTGGCTAGAAGATCCCCGATTTTGGGTCGGAGTCGGCGCCTCAGAATCCTCATGGTCATCCCGATCAATGGCAGCACTGTAGCAGCAGATGGGCCAGAAACCTGGGGACTTGGGAATTTTTTGTCGGGTCTTTGGATATTTTGGATGTGGATTTTGGGAAACCTTGTGATTTTATCATGGATCAGAAAAGGTTTCCCAAGATCATCCAGTCTTATGGACTAGTTGTTTTTAATCTTGTTTTTTTTGGGATTGTGATTTTATAAACCCCAAGATCATCCAGTCTTATGGATTAGAAAAACATTCCTTTTTGGAGTTGATGTGGATTTTACCAAACCTGGAAGGTTATGATGATTTTCCGGGAGTTTTTCTGTGAAACTTTGGGGATAAGTTTTTCTGATTTTATTCATATTGTTGATGGGATTTGTGATGACTTTCCAGGACTTTTTGTGGTATTTGTTGATGATGTGGATTGGGATTTTGGATGGAAAAACTGCAATTTTTGAATGGGAATTGATGAGGCGTGTTATGGAAGTTTATGGAAATTCTATGGGAAATTACGATGAGATAAAGTAATCTAGTGGGATCCTACGGAATTGTTTCTGGAATTCTCGGGTGAGGGCCTTAGGGGACTTTTCGATGGGATCTTATGATGATGTCATGGGATGTTTATGGGATCTGATGGATTTCCTTTGCGGGATTGTATGAGGTTTCTTATGGAATTTTAAGGATGACGTTCACCTGGTCCTTTTTGTGCAGTTTTGTAGTCAAAAAAGTGGGATGATCATCAGAGATCATCAGAGATCAAGCAACTGTCAATCCCAACCCCCCGGGATTTGTATGGAAATTGACAATGATACAATGCAATCTAGTGGGATTTGATGTGCTTGTTTATGGGATTCTATGCGATTATTATCGAAATTGGGATCCGGATGTTTTATGGGGTTGTATAATGATGTTATATGATTTTATGCAATTTCCTATGGGATTTGATGGGATTTGTTTATCATATTTCCGCAGTTCCATGGTTCAAGCTTGATGTTTTGGCAGCTTTCGGGGGGTTGGGATTGACAGTTGATCTCTGATGAACGTCATCCTGGGGCCCCATCTACAATGAAAACACGATTCGGATGTTCCAAGGACCCGGGATGATGGTAATTCATCCATAAATATCAGAAATGGACCATGTTCCACATCGTTAGTTTACCACAGTACAGAGTTGTCTAAGGCTAAAACTCACATAGTCGTTTAGTTTCCACATCTATGTAGCCCAAAAATCGTTGTTTTTTTCGGCTACAAAAGCACTCTACAGAGTCCCTGCCTGTGCTGCACACCCCACGATCAGTACATGCAGCCTGCAGCAGGCTGGGTGCGCGATGGGATGCATCGAAATAGCGGTGAAGACATACACAACCATCTGGTTGGTGGTATATACCTACCCCTGGTTGGTGTTGACCTACCCTTGGTTGGTAATATACCTATTCATATTAATGGTTAATATTGATGGTTATTATATGCTTAATGATGGCTAATAATGATTACTGGTTGGTGGTATACCTACCCCTCTGAAAAATATGAGTTCGTCAGTTGGGATGATGAAATTCCCAACTGAATGGAAAGTCATAATCCATTCATGTTCCAGTCACCACCAACCAGACAACCTTTTGGTGTTTGGTGAATCCATTTTTTCCGTACCCAAAAAGAAGAAAAGTAATTGACCACTACCCTCAGGTAATCAAACATGGCAAGCTGGAGCATCCCCGAGATTTCTGAGATGATCCAATGATCATTTTTGTGCAATGCCAACATACCAAAATCAGAAACCAAGCAACAAACATGGAGAGAATCAGTTGTTTGAAGCCGCATGTTTGCGCAGTAGATTCTGTAAAATCCTGTAAAATCATGGATTCAAATCCCGTGTTTGCTGCATAAAACAGCAGGTCGATCTCCTACGGTCAAAATCCCTAGGGCGGCCCTACAGTATGTCTTAATTAGGTCGAACCCTGCTTTGTTGACACCCGAAGTTTGCTGCCCGAATGTCCATATTTTTATTGGTTTAAATCCTATTCTTCAAGAGCGAAAAACATATCCAGATGGTCAGTGGGTTCATGACCCCCTCCAAAAAGTTGGGATCATGGATCATCATCATACTTGCACCGTTGAGGTTACTGCACTATGGATATTTTTCCATGGGAAATTCAAGCCCAAAAGAAATGGGATATGGGGCCACAACTGAACTAGCGCTCTTGAAATATCCACTGAGTTCAATGGAACTGCACTTCCAAATCTTCCAAGTAAGAATATGAATCATAGTTGAAAACACCTAAGTTCTTGGTTATATATCTATATATATAACTTCCAAGTAATATGAATCATAGTTGACGACACCTATAATTTGTTGGTAATGTATCTCCATGGAATCGTGGTTATATGGTGATCGAAACCTATGAAATACTATACTGGTTCCTGGGTTTTGTATCTATGGTTGAAGATTAAAAAAATTGAAACCACCCACCAGAACTGGTTGATATTGCCTTGAATCCCCTATGGTATCGCCATCACTTCCCGAAAAAATATCCCACAATATTATCAACCAGCTATATTTTGAAGGTGTCATCATCACAATTCTATGGTTGAAAAGAAAAAATCTTGACTACGAGTCAGACGGCAGCCTGTTGGCGGATCATTGTTTTCCCACAATCTCTCTTTTGCGATTCTATATCAAAAAGACAGTGGAACTTGGAGGATCATTTTACTTCGAAAAAATAAATATTATATTATATATATAACCCCTTCTTCCCCAATTCAAAACATATTTCACACCCCAGCAGAAACCATGGAGGGTGTTTTTCATATTGGATGAGATTGAAGAATCATTTTTTTCATGATACTAATGAGAGTGATAATAAATGATAATCTGGTTGGTGGTATACCTACCCCTCTGAAAAATATTCGTTCGTCAGTTGGGGTGATGAAATTCCCAACTGAATGGGAAGTCATAATCCATTCATGTTCCAGTCACCACCAACCAGTGTTATTTATGGTCAATGTATGTAATCCATGGTTAATCTATGGTCATTTTATATGATCATAAATGATAATCATAGTGAGACTGAGAAATCTGAGAAGAAGATCTAGTCATCCCAAGAAAAAAGGGATCGAAAAAACAGTACCCGGCCTTGCTCAGGATCGCCTCGGCCTGGCTCCGACTAGAGAGTGGGACGCTGTTGTTGGCCTCTTTTGATCGTGTTTTTGGGTGTTTTATTTTGAAGTATATGTTTCTTGCTGTTGTTTTGTATATGTTTTCTTTGAATTGACTTTTAAATGTAGTCAGAGTATTATATAATACTGTAAATCTCATTGCAGGACCAAAAATTGTTTTAATGTATGCCGTTTTTTGTGGATGTTAGGCCATGCACTTTTTCACTTCTAATCAATGATTTTCTCAATATTTGAGTTCTCTAGCTGGCTCCTTACTGCCACAGCTTTCTCTCTCAGAAAGCGGTGTTCGGGGCATTGTTAGATATGATTTTATACATACATATATATATATATAAAGGAAGTTGAAAAAGGCAAGGAGGAAACTTGTTTCGAGTGATGTGCTCAGTCTTCATATTTACACACTTACATGCTTGGTTCTGGATCGAAAATCATCTTTATCTTATGACTTTCTTTCAGACACATAGCGCTTTCCACAAGAGTCCAAGTACAGCCCCCATTTTGGGTAGCAAAGAAACCTGCCGTGCCTCCAAGATATTCTCTGCTGCTAAGGAAAATCCTATGTTGATGATGAGTCAACCAACATAACCAGCATGACATGCATGTCAGATTGCCTATCGTTGTCATCATGGTTACAAACATGGCAAAAAGGTTGCGTGACCAATGGGGAAGCTTTTGTATATCTATCTCAAAACATGGTTTATAATTATCCCACATACACTGCACAATGTATACATATATATATATATACTGATGCAATATATGTATATATGTTTTTGCAGAACATGCTTAGTGCCACATGTGCCATGGTCATCCATCATGGCAATCCGATTGATCATCCTCCATAAAATGGGTCACTGTTAACGGTTCCCAGCGTAGCAAAACATGAAGAAAACGATGGCAAGGAACATTTTTAGAGTAGCAAAAATGGCAAGTAGGTTTTTCAGCATTTGTTTTTAGGCAGTCTGCGACTAGCCATGGCCAGGAACATACATAAAATACCGAGCAAAACGGGCTTAGAGCAAAAACTCATGGTAGAGCCTTCTTCCCAATAGGAAAGTGGTGGAAAATTACGTGTTTTTGAAACATTTATCAAGTTAAACAAGTGTAAAAGAGTTTCTCCTAGCTATCTCGGGAATTGTTCTCTTGGGATAAAGAAACTGGCGAGTAATGAATGGAACTAATCATTGCACCTTGTTATGGATTGCCATCTTTTGTTCTAACTCCAAAAAGCTTTAGCACTATTGCTGACTCCAGTTGAAGTCAGTATTTTTGAATAACATGTTTAGACTCGGACTATACCTAAATTCCCCAAACAGCTTGATTGGAGCATAGTGGCCGCGCAGATGAAGGCAAATGATATGGCAGATTGCTTCATTTGACGTGAAGTTAGTTGACAGACTAGCAACCAGAGACAGTGTTTTTTGTTGAAGAAATATGCGAAAAAAAAGTCAGGAGATGAAGCGGATGAACTCGTGTGCGTCAGTTCGGAAGCTACGAAAGACTATAAAATGAGGATGTTCAAGCTCCGGAAGGCTTCGGAAAGTTCCCAATGAAGATATTAAGAATCGGAAAGGTCTGGGCGGGGGTGGAGGGGTTTTAAAAAAGAACAAAAGACTTTTTCTTTCCCTCCCCCCCACAGGGCTATGTATATTCTTTCCCTGTTTTTCTCCTTTCCCTTCACCCTTCCTCTTTCCATATCTACATGTTCAATTCCCATATCCTGTTCTAGAATCCCGGCTTCAATAAATTAATATCCAAAAAAATCCTATAATTTCATGTTTTCACTAGATGATATCTTGTTTGTGATATGTACCAGAAACATAAATGTGTGTATATATATAATTATATACATATGCAGAAACTAGCTAAAAATTGACCTTTCTATAAGACTGGAGGCCTGGTGGCGTCCCTTTCTGATTTTTTAAGGCCATATTCATGGGGCTCCCATCCCAAGCTCCCAAGGAGCTTGAAATGTCATGGGGGATCTGCCCAACTCAAAAGATAGCAACCCCCCAAAAGATAGAAAAAGTGAAAAACCACACGATTTTAGTAGAGGTAAATGTTCAATGGTTCTTCTGCGAAATCTTTTTGGCGGTTACTAGATATATTCAGAACCAACATGAAAATATAGTTAGTTATCCTGAAGTAGATAGAATATTGTATGTTCAAACAGATTCCCATATCTTTCGCCATCGGATTTTTAGAAATGTCCACTATGGGCCAACATAACGGCCAATAAGTTTGGTCGTATAACTCCCAACAAAATTAGCAGAACATCTCAACCAAGGAATTTTCTAACAGATATGGTTGATTATCAACCATGCTTCATACCAAAAAAAAACAATCATAGTATGGTGGATTCCCATGGTAAAATCTCCCTATCATCTCCCTATACCACTCATAAAACCAGGCGATTGTTCCCCCTTCGGCCGGCGGCGGGCCTCGGGATAGACGGATTGAAGCTCCACTTCGCTGTCGCTCTCTAGTTGTCGACCCTCCTGAGATCGCTCAGGGATTCTTACAATGGCTAAATCCGAACGGATATGTATAATGTGGTCCCCCAAATCACCATAAAATGGGTGGTTTATGACTTTGTTTTACCCACATGAAAATTATAATCCCTATGTATCATCGAAAAAGAACCACTTAGATAAGCCATTCATATCATCTAAGTGTGGATCAGTCACTAGTCCCTACATATACCCTCTGGTTATTTAACATAGCCATGGTATAGATGGCCCATAGAAATAGATGCTTTGCCTATTAATAGCATGGGTGGATTCTCCAGTTCGCAAACTGTTAGTCACAACCAGATGGTAGCCAAAAAAAAACTGTAATGTCAACCCTGGATTAATAAACCCCAAACGGTTGTTTAAGTGGGGGGATACCATAAAAAAGTATCAGATGACATGACTATTGAATTCGGAATACCCCCTAATTGTCATAAACCATGGTTTAGCAAAATCCGGGGTTGACATATGAGAGCAGTTCATCTAAGTGTGGATCAGTCACTAATCCCTACATATAACCAATAAAAAAACCTGTATCACCCATGGTTTCACGGTATGATTTCACCATGACTCAACGACTCGTTACGGATCTCCCAACTCGCTCGCCTCCACCACCAGCGCCACGATGACTGTGGTGTCGTCCGGATTTCCTCTGGCCACCAAGGGCGCCGCCTCGGGGGATGGTCCGGCCATTTTTGATTCTACAAACATGGCTGGTTGGTTCAATGGATTGGTTTTCACGGGAAAATGTGACCAGGAAAGCCCCATATTTAATGGGAAAATCGATGGTTTCCGGTTTCGATTTTCCCTTAAACCAATCTACATTTGGCTGGTTGGTTCAATGGCCATAGTTAAATAGTTGATGTTCCCATAGAAATGATGTTGGTCTATGATGTTAAAACCTATTAAAATCTGGTGAATCAACTCATCAACCATGAGTTATTGGAGTTAAACAAGCCTATTTTTTTACGATGATTCGAAAATCATAAGGCCGAAATATGGAAGTGCTATTGAAAATGGTCATAGAAATAGTTGATGTTCCCATTTATGATGTTGGTTTATGATGTTAAAAGCTAGTAAAATCTGTTTGGTGGTTTCAACCTACCCCTCTGAAAAATATGACAACTCGTCAGTTGGGATTATGAAATTCCTAAGATATGGAAAAATCATCCAAATGTTCCAAACCACCAACAAGTTGCCTATTGTATCTCCAGCAGATGGGATATGTTTCATCCATGGGCCACCAGCTTTTTCCAGCAAAAAAGACCACATTTCACCCAAAAAAAATATCTCCCATCTGCTTCCATCAAAATCACATGGGTCAAGTTACAAGGCAGGGTTGGCTGGCTTATGGTCATCCCCTCTAGAACTTGACCATGGCACATGCGGATCAGGAACCCGGATTTAACATAACATAACCGTCACAAAATCGGATTTCACCAACCAAAAATCACAAAAATCTCCAGCAAAATCCTCAAACGTTCAAATATTGGATGCTTCTCTACCAAGAAATGTATATCAAGTAGAAAGAATAAGATACCAGTAATGTGTCCGACGGTCCAGTCCAACAATTGGATTACCACCAGCCATGTGGATCCAAGGTGGCTTCGCCTTCATGGATGAACTCCCCATAAAACCCCAGTGCTTGGGTTAAGGTCATTCAATGTGGTGCCGCCGAGTTTTGTTGGTTTATTACCCATCTAAGTATAGGCTCGAATCACCCTAAACCGTTACAACTAGTTCAACCAACTGAGCATTTCCTAACGGCGCTGCCATGCTTATCCCATTATATCCCATGATATTCCAATGTCTCTCCCATTTGAGCCATGGTCAGTCCCAGTTCATGGATTGTGATCATCCCGAACATTCAAAGGGTAGTGAAACCCCTACGATCAACCAATCATCATGTATCAATTTAAGATTCTCATGTTTTATGATGCTTAAATCACCATGTTCCATAAGAAAAATCAAACAACAGGGGTGTTGAACATTGTATGATGATTGGTTGGCTATACATCCATTAAAAAAATATAAACATGAATAAATGGGTTTGTCTGAAAATAGTGTACCCCTACACCCAATGGTTTTGCTGATCATTATCCCTACTAAATGGCTATAATTGGGGGTATACCCCATTTTCAGACATACCCAAATAACTCCCATTAAATTACCGTGTCCTGTTGATGGTTAGTCCTGGGCCAACAACTGCCGAGTCAGGAACGAGCACGACCTCAATGATGATTTGGACAAAACCACCAGTTTTGACAGGGCATTGTTGAGGTCTAAAAGGTTTTAACCCTCTGGTAAACTGTTACAAAAAAGCTATGGAAAGATCCACCATTTTATAGCTGGGAAAATCCACTATTTCTATGGCCATGGCTTCAATAGCTACGTAACAAATTACCAGAGGGTAACCACAATGGAGATAGAATGGGAATATCTTCATGGGATACATAAGCAGCAACGATATTTATATATATATATATTATCTGGTTGGTGGTTTCAACCATTTTCAACCCCTCTGAAAAATATGAGTTCGTCAGTTGGGATGATGAAATTCCCAATATATGGGAAGTCATAAAATTCATGTTCCAAACCACCAACCAGATACATATATATATATATGTTATACTCACCATATAAACCCTCGCTAATCCCCATATCTGATTCGTTCAGCCCTTGGACTTCGCCTAGAAATATGTGGCTGTGTCTTGAAATGTCCATCCCCTTAAATGGCAATCTTGAAGAGGCAACGTCTGGGATTCCTATGAAACACAACGGGAGATTTTATGGGATGGGTAGCATTTCCCAACTGGTGCAGGATATACCCTCCACAGTATGTCTGATGGATTTTGCAAGTTTACCATCTTCTATTTTTTTTCGGAGGGTTACCCTCTGGTAATTTAACATAGCAATGGAAAATGGCTATTGAAATAGTGGATTTTCCCATTAATAGCATGGTGGATCTTTCCATAGCTTTTTGTTAACGTTTACCAGGCCGGGTTAAACAGAAAATGATGGTTGACCAAAACCTTCGAAACGTCCAAGGAAGAAAATCAGGACATCGGATCTCTTCAGAAATGGAAACATATGCAACCCTTGAAAAAATCAATGGATTGGTTTAAGGGAAAATCTGACCAGGAAAGCCCCTTTTTTTAATGGCAAAATCTATGGTTTTTTGGTTTCAATTTTCCCTTAAACCAATCCAATCAAAAAAACAAAACATGTTTTTAATACCCCTAAGCTCTGGCAATTTGCTACATAGCTATTGAAGCCAACCCACATTTAGTTCGTTGATTTGCCTATTAGATGGTGATTTTCCAGTTCGCAAACTGTAAATGTTTAACAAAGGGTAAGCTCTGGTAATCTAGCCTGGCAAAAAGATATGAAAAATTTCCGCCAGGTCAGATAGGTCAGATTGCATGAGGCAATCGCAACTTCCCATTCGCAATCCATTTGAATTTCCCTTCAGTAACATATGGAAAATCCATATGTTTTCCACATCGAACATCCATCATAAATCGATTTCTGGTATATTCGACCATGTAACCATGTCCTTTTCACATGTTTCAGGAGTTTACTGAGAAGTAATCATGAGCGTTCAACCACAGCAATAATTTGGGTTTATTTGTTCGACTTAAATTATCTTAAATTGAGGTTTCCAATCCATTGAGGTACCCCGAAATGTCATCATCCATTTTAGATTGGGATTTTCCCTAAATTATCCATTTATAGATAGGATTCTACCCCTATTAGGTCATCCATTTATAGATCACAATTCCATTACAAACCAACCATCCAGCCATAAAGGGCTACCCCCATGACTTAGGAAAGCAACGATTTTTGACCTCAGCATCAGCATGGAGACCTCAAACTCTTCAAATCCTAAATACGAAATCTGCCAAACCATAGTATTGTTGTTGTGTAAATTATACATATATGCATGTGTGTATAAATATATACATATATATATGTATCTAATGTAAATGTAAATATATTTATATGTATATGTATATATATATATGTATATGTATGTATATATATATATGCATGTATATATATATATATATGTAAATGTATGTGTGTGTATATATATATACATGTATGCATATTTCTATCCAACCAACATATCTATGGGGTTAAAACCCAAGGCCGATTCAATTCAATGAAATCCCGTTCAATTCTACAAAATCCCATAAAATTCCATAGAATCCCATTAAAACTCCATTAAATTCAAACAAAAACCATGAAATTCCACCTTCCTTTGCCAGCTTCGTTTCCCCAACGCCCAACGCCCCCAGGCTTGGTCGAAGGCACGTTGCGGATTGCCGCATCGACTAAGCCAATGGCCGCCTGTTGCAGCTGCGAAGCCTTGGCTGCGCCAAGTGGTCACTTTATGATGGGGAGATTAATGTGGGTAAAACAATGTCATAAAGGTTACCCTCTGGTAATTTGTTGCAGTTTGCTATTGAAAATACCACATTTAGTTCGTTGATTTACCTATTCAAAATGGTGATTTCTATAGCTACGTTAGTTTACCAGAGGGTAATGGATAAAGGTTAATGGATAATGGTAAGACTACAAATTAATGGCTAATGTTTTGATAATGGTAATGGATCAAGATAATGGAACTGGAAAAACATATCATATATCATATCATCTGGGTAAAACAATGTCATAAACCACGCATGACTGGGAATGGTAAACATACCACCTATAAACATGGTGATGACTGGGGATGGTTTATGGCATTGTTTTACCCACATTGAAGGGGGTATATAATAGATGCTACCCTCCGGTCATGAGTTAATATATAATCTTCATAACCTTAAACCAGCCATTCTCTCAGAACTAGAGTAACTAGAGTATTCATATGGTAAAATCGTTGATCGTCAAAAAAGAACTTTTGCTGGATATGGTTATTTTCCATGCAGAGCAAAAACTAAAGGATTAAGCCATTAAGCGGATTAAACTAGGTTACGCTGTGACGGGTGGCCTGTGGGCGGCGGTGTCATTTTGATCCTTCATGGTCTCCATTTGCAAATCTTTGCCATTTCTTTACACATTTGTGCAGGAGTGAATTTGTCATTCACATTTTTGTTACGTCTCCACAGCCACAGGTGAGGGTTGACCACGCTATGCTCTTTGGATTTTTTGAAAAATCAACTGCTTTGGAAGCCACTTTTTCAGGCATATCTCTATAAATATATATATATACAGTATATGTTATTAAAGTAGCATCAAGAGCGTCTTCCTAGTTACTTCAATATGTTGTCAACATAGCATCAACAACGTGGTCATCCAAGGGTGTGGATGATAACTGGTATATGGAACCCATATAAAGTGAGGCCCCATACTTAGCAAAGTTGGTGAACAGAAAACTCCGAGAAAACTATGGTGTATGATACGCAAACAAAAAAAAAAAGTGCCTGGAGTTTATGAAGCAACTTTTGTAAATATCAAACAAACATATGTTAATTTTCGGAAATAATCAGGGGAGGAGGTTGTATTTGCAAATATCTGAAACCTTATTTCCGTCTAGATCCTATATTTCCATGAACATCATGTCATAATTTTAAAATCAGTATATTACTAAATAAATTGTATACAACTTAAAATTACTATTAATGATGATACATTACCATGATTATCCTGATTTTTATTGCTGGTGTATGATAGGGATACCAACCATATAAAATAAACCATATCAGAACCAGGATATGATAGGTACATTAATGGGGACATATCGATGTTACCCTCCGGTAATGAGTTAATATATCATGGGGACGATGGATGATTTGATCATAACCAACCCGTCTGAACATGGGATCATACTGGGATATAATGGGAATAGTGGGATATAGCTGGATATCATTGTGATCATCAGGTTTCGCATAATCATGTGGTTTTGAGAGTGATATAACCGCCAATTTCACAGGATAAGTGGGATCTAAAAGAGCCAGAACTGGCATGATTTTTATGGATAGAGTCTGTATGTATGATATTGTATAACATATATATATATTATATATATATTATATATATATTATATATATTATATATATATATTATATATATATATATATTATTATATATATATATATTATAATATATATATATATTATAATATATATATATAATAATATATATATAATATATAATATATATATATAATATATATATATAATATATATATAATATATATATATTATAATATATATATAATATATAATATATATATATAATATATATATTATAATATATATATATTAATTGCTCGTTGGTAATCAAACATTAGTAATCATGGCTTGCGGGAAATCCCCGCACTATCCATGGAGGTGTAGTTCCCTGGAAAAAACTCTCGGCAACACGAAATGGTTTAGATTCTCCAGCAAGCCATGGAGCTGATTACCAGAATTTGTGGGTGAAATTGCGGAATAACTTTTTTTGGGTCTTTGGTCAGCCTGCAATTCAGAATGATAAAATATCATCCAATTTTGCAGTGTTTTGCGGAAAATCTGGGGTCTACGCTGCCAAAAAATATGCCAAAAAAAGGGTGGTTCAAACATGGCAAACATCCTAGACCGGGAGGATCCGCAGACCTGGAAAATCACCAATTTTTTTGACAGGTCTCGGGAGTCGTGTTCCAAAAAATGGTTAGCATGTTCCATAGCTATGCGAAATGAACAGAGGATCATAGTCTGTTTACCATCTGGCTATGACTAACAGTTTGCGAACTGGAAAATCACCATGCTATTCATAGGTAAACTATCTATTTCTATGGGCATAAATGGGCCATTTCCCATGGCTATGTTAGTCATAACCAGAGGGTAATCGTCATAGTCATAGGCCATGGGAAAAGCCACGGATGCTCATCTGAGATACCCAAAACATGATACTGTGGATGGGGCAGCGAAATCCGATAGACCACCAATTTGGGATGGTTGAAACCCATCAAAAGTCATGGGAAAAACCCACCTATCAACTAGTGATTCGGATTTTCTTCCATCCACTTTTGGTCCACCAGTTTGTAAATCATTGGTAAACCATGGTAAACCATGCACCGTATGGGGCTTTCCGTTTTCGTCACGGGGGATCACCCGTCGTCATTAACGGTTAAGCTATACTAAGTCATGGTCATCCATGACGACTGGACGATGGCTGGGGGTAGCCCCATGAAACGGAAAGCTGCATTTATGGCAAATGATCCGTCATGAACAGATTACACAAACAAACTGCAAGGTGATGACAGTATCATGTGTTGGTGGAGACAGATATACCATTTTTGATGGATGAATCCCTCAAAACGATTCGATCCATGGCTTTGGTCCCATAGTTCTTACAGTTAAACCTCCTCTTTTCAGATTAGCCTCTGGTAATTCATAGCTATGGAAGCCATGGTCTATATCTATAAAATGTGTTTACCTATTAAGAATGATGACATTCAATAGCTGTGTGAAAATACCAGAGGCTATATGGAGGTTTCCTGAAACCCATGACTTGGCGATCCATTTTAGGAACCCGAAAAAAATGGTTGTTGTTTCCTAAGTCATGGGGGTACCCAAAAAAAAACACATGGATGGAATATTTTTCATGGAAAATCCCCCCAAAAATTGGATGAACAATTTTGGGAAAATCCCCCATTTTCCGAAACGGAAAACCCCGAAAAAGCCCGAAAATCTGAGTTCCCCAGGCTGAGGGCAGCGGAGCTTTGTAGAGCACTGGCAACTGCTGCACCAGTCGACTGCACGGCGTTGTGTTCGGCGACAAAGCGTTGAGGGATCCTTTGAGAAGTTCGAAAGATTCGAGAACTGCTAAAATCATCTAAAATCCAGATGGAAATTAGAATACTGTGGATGGTTGAGAAATCCGAATCACCAGTTGATAGATGGTTTATCCATGTTTATCCCATTACTTCTAGGGTTTCATCCATCCTTTTGGTGGTGCAGGATTTCGCAACCATCCACAGTATGTCAAAGTAGAGGAACAGTTTTAGAAGATCTTGTTGAGCTAAAATCTCGTGTGATTTCAAAATATGTTTTTGGGATCCAGTGACTTTTTTTTGAAGTATAATCACCCCAAAACAATTCAAAAAATAAGATGGAAAGTAAAATCCAACTTCCAAAATACATCATGGGGCCCCCCCAGTGATGCTTGTTGGTTTATAAATTTATAAACCATTATAATCCCTATTAACTAGTTCGTTATATCTACCCTAGACCATAGTTTTTTCAGCCACTTATCCTGTAGTGATAATGACTCTTCTATGTTATAACATTTCATGTTGATCATATAAATCTAATTAAAAAATGTAAATCTTATAAAACCAGCTTAAAATCCTCGGGTTTCCATAAAATTTTCCGGATAAAATCCTCGGATTCAGTGCTTTTTTCGGATGGGACTCCCCCGATTCAGCCGAAAAATACGCACCAAAACGACGTAAGTTGAGTAACTGGCTGATAATATGAGTTAGTGTAAATATATGAGTAAGATAAATACAGGTAATATATATATATATATAATATATATATATACATTCAGTTGGATATAATCATCCCAATTTCTCGATATAATATATATATATATTAATAATTACACTCTGGTTATTTGTTACATAGCGAACTGGAAGCCATGGCCCATAGAAACAGATTATTTTCCCAGCGAACTAAACCTCCATTTATGGTTGGGATTTTCCATGGCTATGTTAGTCATAACCAGATGGTAGTGTAAATATATGAGTATATATGAGTAAGATACAGGTAAAATATATAGACCATCCACTAAGTGCATTTTCTTTGAGTTAGACAGGTGGCTGGTGATGAATCGAAAGGAATGGATTCGCAGGTAGCAAACAAGCCGAGGGCAGTCCAGGGCTTTTTTGGCTGCTCATCTACTGAGCATAGATCCAAAACAAAGCCAAGCATAGACCTTGAACTGCCATCGTGTTACTGGGATCATAAAATGCCAACCCGGCTGGCAATACTTTGGCAATACTTCTGATGCTTGGCTGAAATCTCTGGCCTGACCGATCTGACCAACGGGTCGATTTCCAGAGGCTTCTTTGAAGAAATGCCCCAATTGGACCATTGGACCGATGGATTTCTTCAACAACTCCTACAACTTCCTCAGCACAACGCAGCTGCGCACGCTGGAGATTTGTTTTTTTTCAGTGCAATTTTTCATGTAGCAGAGTCAGCTACTCGGATGATTATTATCCCATGTGAAAAGCTGGCGTGCACACCATTGTAGCTGTTTGAATCACCATGTTGTAGCTCGGGCAATCGCTTTCATTCGTGGCATGCCCATATTCCGAAAAATCATGTGGGTTTGATGGTTTGATTCTCCGTAGAATTCTCCCAAAATCAGCAACAGAATCTTGACGTATCCCATCTCATGAAAATAACGTTGGTTGAAAACGGTTTCTCGTTTGGCTTAGTTCGTCATCCTCCACAAATGCTATGAGTGCCCAAAAACATACCAATTTACACCCTACAGGATGGACCGCCCCAGTGATGTGAACGTTGCTTCAAATAAACCATGAAATAATGGAAATCCCATTGTTAATGGGGATATCATGGAAATACGGTGGTGAGTTGGTTTAAAAACCATGAAATAATCCCCATGAAAACGAGTTCGTCAAAAAACCATAAACCATAGTTTTCAGGCAACTGAAGGCTATATGTCCCAAGACCTTCACCGACGCCACAAAGCTAGTGGCAATTCATAATAGATATATAATCAACATTTAAGTATACAGCCATGTTAGACTATTGGGATATTTCTAGTCATCACTGGTTGGTGGTTTCAACCCCTCTGAAAAATATTAGTCAGTTGGGATTATTATTCCCAATATATGGAAAGTCATAAAATTCCATGGTTCCAAACCACCAACCAGATAGGGATAACCACCAACCAATTTCTAACCAGTCGAACTTTTTCCCAAGAAATTCACCAGGCCCCATCTGCAAGGCCATGGCCGTTGCAGAAACAAACGCCTCTGCTTCCGGGTCACGAGGCCTGCAAACGCTTCATCCCAGAAAATTCATGGTGATTTCATGGTGAAAAAATTGGAAAATCCATGGTGAACTCTTGGGGAAAAAAAAAGGCCAGTTGTGTTTAATATGAATGGATTTGTTTCTGTGCGAAGCCTAGAAGTCGGTGTCCAAGAATCGTGGATACCCAATAGCTGCCGCTGATTAGCTTAACTAGGTGGAGTCAGGAGGACCCACAGCGATTTGGACTTCCCAAGTTTGAGACACATGACGAGCATCTCATCCCGCAATCCACCTACCGCTGATCTTATGTTTGCCTATAGGCACCCCTTGGAAATCAGGGAAATAATAGAATTAGGAAAAACATACAGTAGGAAAAACAATGGGTGGACATAACCTGTCAATGGGAAACGACTGATTTTCATCTGCAGTGTTTAGGGATGATTCTTCAATCAGGAATACCAGAGGGAATGTGGTGAATGCGAAATTAGGGAACATCCAAACACCAGGGTTGTATGTGACATGGTGAAGTTACATGATATTTGGCGTGTGGGCATCTCACCATCATTCAAATTCAGGATTCCTTACAATGGGTTTGTGTATACATATATGTATATCTATGGAGGTGTCCTAGAGTGGGAGTACGCCAATAGCTGGATGGTTTATTTCATGGAAAATCCCAAGAAAAAATAGATGAGAACTGGGGGGTACCCCCCCTTGACGGAGGAAACCCATGGGAAAATGGGCGGTATCATTACGAGTGGCGACCGTAGAACGGTACACGATTTTTTGCCCACGTAGTTCGATGTAGCTCCCAACCTGGAGATTATCAATCAGTTAGATATCATCAAGTTGTAGCTCAAAGCTTCAGATGCCGTTTTACAAGTTGTCATCTTTACCACATTTTTTTGTTGGTGGATCAATAGATAATTTTGGAGAAAATTGGATCATTTTGAATTATTAAGTTCTACTTCAAACCGGGCATCAAATCATTTTGAACCGTAGATCATTGCCATCCAGATTTCACTAAAAAAAGAGCGATTCTGATCACCATCAAAAACAACAGCTACTGGGAGATTTGTTGTACAAGAAACCAAATCATCAAACTGAAGGGTGAAATACCCTCTGGTAATTTAACATAGCTATTGAAAATCACCATTTTTAATGGGAAAATCCACTATTAATGGTCATTTTCAATAGCTATGTAACAAATTACCAGAGGGTACCCCTCGTTGTTGCGCTTCGTTTCCACCGTTTCCACTACCCGCAAGCTCGCCCGCGAGCTTACCCCTGTCGTCGCCTGAATCTCCGTCTCCCTGGGAGCCTGGAAATGGGCAAAGTCCAAGATGGAAATGTCTCAACCGATGGCTTTTGGTGGGAAAAATGGGTAAAATTTACCTAAAAATCAGCATGAAATCAGCCATCTAAACTCCCTGGTGAAAAGAATTCTAGGATACAGATATACAAAACATCTCCATCCATCTCCCTCCAAGTCACATGAAGACCTTTCCAAGAGCTCTGAGAACAGCTGATTTTTGGGATACGATCGTCCAGCGGCTATGGGGATCGATCTGGCAGAGTCTTAGACTGTTGAGGGGATGGTAATCTGCTGATGAGTCCGGCAGGGTAAATGATCATGGTTCACTAGCCTGAAATAACCCTTGATAAACATGATAAATCCAATATAGTATTTTGGAAGTATCAAAATAAGGTGAACCATGATCATTTAACCATAATTTAACCAGGTCAGTAAATTATCATGTATCTGGGATCTTACTAACCAGCATTCCAATGGGGCCGGCGTATGGATGAGTGTGGTTGATGGTACTAACGAGTTGACATCACCGAAAGCCAGAAAGCTTCCCCATTTTGGTCATGATTCCATTTACTAATAATGTCCCCCTAATAGTAAACACCCCCATTTCAGATTTCATGGTTCCAAATAGGTGTAAATCTCCTACTAAACCATGGTTTCTGGGGGGTGTTGAATATTTGGGGGGAAGGGAATAATTGAATAATAGTATCTAATTGAATCCAATAATCATGCAAGCTGAGGTGAATGTAAGGTCGCTATCATTTGTGTACAGTGACGCGTTTTTTCGACGTTGGTTGCACTTTATGATGGGTATACGTGTATTCTCTATATTTATTGATTCCAGAAGGATACATAAGGTATCTTGGTTGCACTATACCCCATTTACATCCATTTACCAACAATGACGGGCCTCAATTTGCATGAAATTCTGGTAACTACCCTCTGGTAAACTAACATAACTATGGAAAATCACCATTTTTAATGGGTAAATCAACTATAAATGGCCACTTTCAATAGCTTTTTGTTTGTTTATCAGAGGGTAGGTTTAGTAGCTCTGCCAGGTTTGTACTCGCAGGATGCTCCCCACAAAAATTGCTAAGAAAATATCCCTGGTGAGAAGTGATTCGTGGGCATGGCCTGGCAAGCGGGTCGATTGAAAAAATACTCATTCACCAGATTCTAGAGAAATGTATCCGGATCACTGGGATGATCCAAGTACCACTGATATAGTGACATATATATATATACTCTATATATATAATATATGTGTGTTTATTTGTATACAGTATACAATATATATATATAAAGAATCACTCAATATTGTCCTTTTAGAAAAAATGGGGCCGGTTTGGTATACTTTTGACTATCACCTATTGATGTGTTTTTTTTGGGAGGACGCCTCTTTTTTCATCAGGCAACCAGTGGTGAAAGGATGGTTATATCCCAACTTTCATGTCAAAACCCACAATTTCGGTACGCTAAAATTTACCCTCTGGTGAACTAACATAGCAATGGAAAATCACCATTCTTAATGGGAAAATCCACTATAAATAGCCATTTTCCATTGCTATGTTAGTTCACCAGAGGGTAAAGATTTTAACCCATATCCCAACTTTCATATCGTTTTAAAGCTGAGGTCTTCGTGACATTCTCATCTTCGCCAGTGCCAGCCATTTTTTCCCTATGGGCCTATGGCTTATCATAATCCCAAGATAGGTTGGTATTTTTCCCTAAAAAAAGAACTGGTTGGTGGTTGACCAACCCCTCTGAAAAATGATGGAGTTCGTCACTTGGGATGACTCCCAACATATGGAAAGTCATAATCCATTCATGTTCCAAACCACCAACCAGATACATATATGTTATACTCACCATATAAACCCTAGCTAATCCCCATATCTGATGTTGATTCCTCCAGTAAAAAATGGTATGGTTAAAGGTTCATGTTTCAAACCACCAACCAGTAACCTATCAAGCTGCTCTTTATTATGGCTTCATCCTGCAGTATCTCTGAGTGAACCCAGCAGTATCTCTGCACGATTTCGGTGATGGCCTGCTGGATTGATCACAGGGAACCAATGAAAAAATGAGAAGGGGAAAAGAACAAAGAAATGGAGGTTTAATGGAGGTGTATGTTAAAAGCTGGCATCCCTGAACTTTTAACAATCGGTTTAATGGAGATAAAAACAAAAAATGCTTGAATTTCCCACCAACCCATTTTTCAAAATGGGATGGCAAGGGGAAAATCACCAAGAAAAATGCGATGATCTTCCATGAATCCATGAATTTAGGATTGATGTATAACAAATGGATTTTGATGCCCTCATAAGTGAGACACATCATGGGAAATACCATACAATGTGGCCCCCCCCAGTTATAAGTTGTTTTACAAACCCCATTAACTATAGTTATAAGTACCAGACATAATGCTTGGAGTTATGTCTTCACCAACCACATTGTAGATCATGGTGGCCCGCCATGGTGGATCACCAGAGGCTAATTTCTAGCTTTTAGGGTAATTCCCATACATCTTCCCATTAATTAAGGTTGATTTTATGGTCATATACCATCTTGTTATGACATTCACAGTTCGCCATGGAAAATCCACCCATTTTTAAGTTCGGTAAATCATCTATTTCGATTAGGGCCATCGAAAAACCATGGCGAACTGTTAGTCATAACCATTTTGGATGGAACATGATGGAACATTGCCTCGTAGATGCTGAGTAGATGCTGTGGAAACAAGCTGGGTTTCAAGGGAATAAAAAATCGAAAGCTTCATATTGAGATGGATGCAAAAAGTTGTTGTTATATTCTTAGTTGCCATATCAATATAATCACCCATATATGTATATATATATAATCATATTGATTTGTATGTATTACTCATATATTGTTAGTTGATTTTGTTGTGTAGCCATTTTTTGATTATCTTCAACAAATGAGATCGCCTTTCAGGTACAATCCTGCACTAGTTGGTAACTATTGGGATTCCTATGAAACACTGTAAATATTGAGATAAAATAAGGGCATAAACCATCTACCAACTTGGATTTCTTGCATCCACAGTAGTTCCCTGTGTCCTTCTTTGTTCCTCCTTCACCATCTTCCAGCCGCTCCAGGTGGAATTCCCCATTGGTAAAACACCCGTGAACTGCCACCATGGTAAGTCATTGGAGGTGGTGGAGCCATTTTTGTTTGATCCTAGTTCTATCACTATGAAATATCACAGTCAAATGGCCAGTTAGATGGGTTTCCGACTATAGTTATATCACTATGTTAGATATATATATATATATGGGTTTAGTTGGATGTCCAATGTTAGATCACAAACGTTGCCCTCTGGTAATTTGTTACATAGCTATTGAAAATGGCCATTTAGTTCGTTGATTTACCCAGCTATAAAATGGAGATTTTCCAGTTCGCGAACTGTAAACGTTTACCAGAGGGTAAGCCATTGACAAGTTGGTGCAAATAAGTCCAATAACTAGGGTTGATGAATGGAGGTTTAAAAACCTACAGTTAAATGGTAATAGGACAACTATATATAAACCAACTATAAGTCCTACGGTCATGTTGATTAGTTCTTGTTTGTAGGTATTCTTGTTAGTTGGGTGAGAAATCTATAGTTAATAAACTGGTATTCATAACCCCCATTCATACTATAGATATAACCCCCATTCATCAACCTTGGACTTATAGTAGCCAATAACAAGTTGTTGTTTTTTCAGCACCTCATCGCTCAGGTTGTCGAAGAGGCCATCGGTGCCGAGAACGATGAGATCTCCATGCTTGATGTTCACCTGAATGGAAACGTTTCGGAAACGGCGATCTCCGTGGTCCGTTCCAGTGATGTTTGTTGATTTATAAACCATACCCAGGTAAACGAACTAACATTTTGCGAACTGGAAAGATCCACCATTTTTTAGCTGGGTAAATCAACGAACTTTCTATGGCCATGTTCAATAGCTATGTAACAAATTACCAGAGGGTATAAACTTATAAACCATACTAACTATAAATAGTAACTACATGTAACTGATGTAACTATAGATATATTCAATATATCTATTGAATCTATTGCAGTTCAGGTACAAATTGGATAGTTCTAACTATAGTTATTAATTATTAAGGTGTTATATATATATATACATATATGTGTCAGTTATATCCCAACTTATAGGGTTGAAATATCTTGAAATATCCCTGGATATCTATATTTATAGGGGGCCCCATATCCCAACTTATGGCCCCATGAAACTAACCTCCGCACCAGTAACTGGGCCCATTGGGGCGTACTAAATGGCGGTATGTCTGTGGAAAATATGGTGATGTAACCCAAAGATATGGGGATTTCAGAGGATTTCATAGTGATTTCATAGGGGATTTCCATGGGGATTGTCAGCTGATCTCATCCCAGTGACGTCATGTACGATGGAACATTTCCACGACCATGCCATATGATTCATATGAAATTAATTTGTTCTAAAACATATATCATATATCATTAATAGCAGATGTATATGTAGACTTATGAATGATATGTGTTTTGTGTTTTGTGCAGTGCAGGGGCAAAGGGGGCCGAAGCGTGGGTTTCCGACGTTGCGCTGTGACGCTCCCGGGGGCGGGTGGCGCTGCGACGCTGCGACGCTGCGACGCTCCCGGGGGCGGGTGGCGCTGCGACGCTGCGACGCTGCGACGCTGCCGTTGGGCCAGTGACGCTGCGACGCTGTTGGCGCTGCGACGCTGCGACGCTGGAGTGACGCTGCGACGCTGTTGGCGCTGCGACGCTGCGACGCTGCGACGCGGGAGCGACGCTGCGACGCTGTTGGCGCTGCGACGCTGCGACGCTGCGACGCGGGAGCGACGCTGCGACGCTGTTGGCGCTGCGACGCTGCGACGCTGCGACGCGGGAGCGACGCTGCGACGCTGTTGGCGCTGCGACGCTGCGACGCTGCGACGCGGGAGCGACGCTGCGACGCTGTTGGCGCTGCGACGCTTCCTTCTGCAAGAGTGCACACGGCGTTGCGTCGCGGCGCGACACGGAAACCCCCATTGAAGATCGTCAATGAATGTAGAAGTTTATATATAACGGGGCTGAAAGAATTCAACCCTTATTGAAGATCGTCCATGAATGTAGAAGTTTAACGGGGGGCTGGGAGAATTAAACCCTCATTGAAGATCGTAAGTGAATGTAGAAGTTTAACGGGGCTGGGAGAATTAAACCCTCATTGAAGATCTTCGATGAATGTAGAAGTTTAACGGGGCTGGGAGAATTAAACCCTCATTGAAGATCGTCAATGAATGTGGAAGTTTAACGGGGCTCGGGAGAATTAAACCCTCATTGAAGATCGTCCATGAATGTAGAAGTTTAAGGGGGCTGGGAGAATTAAACCCTCATTTAAGATCGTCCATGAATGTAGAAGTTTAACGGGGCTGGGGAGAATTAAACCCTTATTGAAGATCGTCCATGAATGTAGAAGTTTAACAGGGGTGGGGAGAATTAAACCCTCATTGAAGATCGTCCATGAATGTAGAAGTTAAACGGGGCTGGGGAGAATTAAACCCTCATTGAAGATCGTCCATGAATGTAGAAGTTAAACTGGGCTGGGAGAATTAAACCCTCGTTCAAGATCGTCAGTGAATGTAGAAGTTTAACGGGGGTGGGGAGAATTAAACCTTCATTGAAGATCGTCAATGAATGTAGAAGTCTAACGGGGCTGGGGAGAATTAAAACCTCATTGAAGATCGTCCATGAATGTAGAAGTTTAACGGGGGTGGGGAGAATTAAACTCTCATTGAAGATCGTCAATGAATGTAGAAGTTTAACGGGGCTCGGGAGAATTAAACCCTCATTGAAGATCGTCCATGAATGTAGAAGTTTAACGGGGCTGGGAGAATGAAACCCTCATTGAAGATCGTCAATGAATGTAGAAGTTTAACGGGGCTGGGGAGAATTAAACCCTCATTGAAGATCGTCCATGAATGTAGAAGTTTAAGGGGGCTGGGAGAATTAAACCCTCATTGAAGATCGTCAATGAATGTAGAAGTTAAACGGGGCTGGGGAGAATTAAACCCTCATTGAAGATCGTCCATGAATGTAGAAGTTTAACGGGGCTGGGGAGAATTAAACCCTTATTTAAGATCGTCAAAGAAAGTAGAAGTTTAACGGGGCTGGGGAGAATTAAAACCTCATTGAAGATCGTCCATGAATGTAGAAGTTTAACGGGGCTGGGAGAACTAAACCCTCATTGAAGATCTTCGATGAATGTAGAAGTTAAACGGGGCTGGGAGAATTAAACCCTCATTGAAGATCGTCCATGAATGTAGAAGTTTGAACGGGGCTGGGAGGAATTAAACCCTCATTGAAGATCTTCAATGAATGTAGAAGTTTAACGGGGCTCGGGAGAATTAAACCCTCATTGAAGATCTTCGATGAATGTAGAAGTTTAACGGGGCTGCGGGAGAATTAAACCCCTCATTGAAGATCGTCAATGAATGTAGAAGTTTAACGGGGCTGGGGAGAATTAAACCCTCATTGAAGATCTTCAATGAATGTAGAAGTTTAACGGGGCTGGGGAGAATTGAACCCTCATTGACGATCTTCAATGAATGCAGAAGTTTAACGGGGCTGGGAGAATTAAACCCTCATTGAAGATCTTCGATGAATGCAGAAGTTTAACGGGGCTGGTAGAATTAATCCCTCATTGAAGATCGTCAATGAGTGTAGAAGTTTAACGGGGGTGGGGAGAATTAAACCCTCATTGAAGATCTTCAATGAATGTAGAAGTTTAACGGGGCTGGGAGAGTTAAACCCTCATTGAAGATCTTCGATGAATGTAGAAGTTTGAAGGGGCTGGGAGAATTAAACCCTCATTGAAGATCTTCAATGAATGTAGAAGTTTAACGGGGCTGGGAGAATTAAACCCTCATTGAAGATCGTCGATGAATGTAGAAGTTTAACGGGGCTGGGAGAATTAAACCCTCATTGAAGATCGTCAATGAATGTAGAAGTTTAACGGGGCTGGGAGAATTAAACCCTTATTGAAGATCGTCCATGAATGTAGAAGTTTAACAGGGGTGGGGAGAATTAAACCCTCATTGAAGATCTTCAATGGATGTAGAAGTTTAACGGGGCGAGGTAGTGTTCAGAGGGGGTCGCTGGCTTGATCTTCGAAGATGCAACATATATTCAAAGGGGGTGGGGGGGCTGATGTCTCAAGGTGCAACGTGTTGTTCAGAGGGGGTTGGGGAGTTGATGTCTTGTGATGGTGAAGATGCAACATAGTGTTCAGAGGGGGTTCCAGGGCTACTGTCTCAGCTTGTCCGGTGGCTTCTCGGCTTCTCGGCTTCTCGGCTTGTCCGGTGGCTTCTCGGCTTCTCGGCTTCTCGGCTTCTTGGCTTGCCCGGCGGCTTCTCGGCTTCGCGGCTTCTCGGCTTCTCGGCTTGCCCGGCGGCTCCTCGGCTTCTCGGCTTCTCGGCTTGCCCGGTGGCTTCTCGGCTTCTCGGCTTCTCGGCTTCTTGGCTTCTCGGCTTGTGCCGGGCTTCTCGGCTTCTCGGCTTCTCGGCTTCTCGGCTTCTCGGCTTCTCGGCTTGTGTCGTACTTCGCGGCTTCTCGGCTTCTCGGCTTCTCGGCTTGTGTCGGGCTTCTCGGCTTCTCGGCTTCTCGGCTTCTCGGCTTCTGGTCGCATTTCTGGGCCCCTTTTGCCCGTGCTTTGGTTTTGTGTGTCTTGTAGATGGAATTTCCGAAGATGTCCATTGATGGATTCCACAAAAATCATGAGTTGATTGATCTGGCTGATGGCTTCAAAAAGGGATTCTACCCCAGTAGGAGGGATTGACCTTGGTTTCAGTTAGGATTCAACTAAATTGGCAGTGCTGTCGGAAAGGGAAAAACAAGGGGCGGCCGCAACTTTTGCAGGCCCCAGGAACCGTAAGTAACAATCATCATATTTCAATCAGAAATGGAATCCCATTTCAAAACATCGAAAAACAAAACGGCTATGTACATAGTGTACCTCTATATTTTCCATATGACATTGGCTATGTTGGGGGATAATTGAGAACTCTATATTATTACAAAAAAAAACATATGACATTTTATGACATGTTCCAATTACCCAGAAAATTGACGAATCGAATCCATCAGATGGGGAAGCTACAACTTCTGGGAGCTCCGCACCAAATCCAATCGACAGTCCTCCACCAGCTCCTTCTGTTCCCCAGTGATTTGATGGGGCAAACGTAACACCTGGCGGGTGATGAAAACGCGGTGGAAAAAATGCCGGGATGACTTTCTATGGGGATGACTTTCATGATGGGACTTTGAATGGGTGAATGGGATTTTGAATGGGATTTGAATGGGATTTGAATGGGATTTTACGGGATTTTGATGGGATTTTGATGGCTTTTTGGGATTGTTTATGGTATTTCACTGGGTTTTGAATGGGATGACGAATGGGATTCTGATGGGAAGTGGTAAAAAAGGGACTGGGATCGATGCCACGGCCATCCAGGTAGGCAACTGGGCCATCTGGGCCATCGTACGGGCCATGGATTGGTTTGTCCGACATCCAGGGTTCAACAGCAGCCAGTTTCTAACTCATGATCCTAAGTTAGATCATCCATGTTTGCTTCATTCCAAAATGTGTTTTTTTGCCTGACTTCTGATTGCATTTCTACTTAAACTACAAGTTTAACTGTTGCATTTCTATAGCCTATGGCCAGATTTTCCCATTCGTCATGTCGGTCATGCCCCATTTTTCCTGAACAGATGATAGGAAAAATGTGTCTTCCAAGCCTCAAGTGATGAGGTCTAGTCGTCGCATCCAGATGGTTGCGTTCAAAGAACATCTATCCGATTATACTTGCTATATCTATGTTTAGATGATTTATAATATAGAATATATTATAAATCGCATCAAACCCAGAAAGTTGAGAAAACCTGAGTAAACCATACGTTTGTATACACAGATACATAGTCTTATTCGATGAAATCCTATCGTTTCATAGACGTTAAGCTCTAGTGTGTAGACACGTAGTCACCAAAGATTGAAGGTTGTTCTAAATATGAACAGGGTTATCCATTTGGCTGATCACATTAATTCCAATTTGTAGAATCTACAGCACCAATCATCCACTGATTTGTGCATCCATAATGCCCTATTTTGACACCAGTTGACAAGATTGTTCGTGGAATCAAACCTAAATTGACTATATCATATCAACGGATGTCAAATATTGTTCACAGCGTCTCGGAAATAACATCAACCTGGAAATGAAAAAACAAGTTGGCTATCAAAATCATACCCCTATTGATAACCTGGGTGAATATTACCACATGTTGCCAAAAATAATCAAATGCTACCCTCTAGCAAACAAACATAGCTGTGGAAGCCATGGCTCAGTTTGTTGGTTGATTGACCTATCGAAATGGTGATTTTCCAGCTCCGAAAAAGCCAGAAAGGTCGATCGCTCATCCCCACGAAATCCCCGATTAGTCCATCTTCTTTCCGCAGCGTAGAGGAAATTCATCCCAAATTGTTCCAGATCATCCCAATCACTTGTTGACACAATCATGTGATTGCTGAGAATAATTCCAAAAAAAAATGTCCTATCAACAAATGTTGATATACAAAAAATCCCCACAATCATTCCATACATCCCCAACATATAGGATCATCATCCCACAAAATGGTGAAATCATAGTTATAAGTAGGTTGTAAGTTGGTTTAGTTTCACCCCATGAATGCTATAGTTGCAAGTATCCTAAACCCAATCGCTATTGTGGTATCAACCATATAGTTATAACTCTTCTTATACTGTTATTTCATTATAAATTATAATGTCAATTTCCTATACTTATTGGATAACCATAGTTATCCCAATGTCATCAATAGGAAAATATCACATTTATAGATGATTTCCCATCACTATTACTGGTTATATCACTATTCATGGCCCAAAACCATCGTCATAAGCGTCACTAGCATAATTATTCGACAGCCATAGTTATTTTCAATAACCGTTAGTTGCGATGTTTTCTTATAGTTCTTGGTTACCCTTTGGTAATTTAACATAGCTGTTGAAGCCATGGCACATTTAGTTCGTTGATTTATCTATTTAAAAAATGGATGGATCTTTCCAGTTCGCGAACTGTGACTTTACCAAAGGATCACCAATAACTATAAGAAACCATCACAACCAATGGTTGTCCAATAAGTACCCTCTGGTAAACGTACAAAAAACTATGGAAAATCACAATTTTTTGTGGGAAAACTCACTAAAAATTGTGATTTTCCATAGTCTTTTGTACGTTTACCAGAGGGTATGCTGAATAACTCTGGTTTTACCCAAATGATTGGATCACCAAGCATCAAAAAATCAAAAAGCATCGCCTGTGCGGGCGTCTTCTCTCCCATCATCACTCGCTGGGAACGAAAACTCCGGCGCAAGCCACCGTCGCCACTGGGCACGGGCCTAGCAACGCGACGCGAGCCGTGCAGGGCGAGAAAGTGGCGAGTCAGGCAGGAGAGGGGATTTCACCCGTAGAAATGGTGATTTCACCAGTAGAAATTTGGATTCTACTATTCGAAACTGGAATGCAACCATGAAAAATGGGGGATGTGGAATTCAACCCATGATTTTTTTCACGAAACTGGTCGGATTTCCCAACTTGTCCATAGATCTGTCGATGGGTGTCTAACCGGACAGATCACGGCTTGAGAATCATCCAGAGGTCGGCCAGTGGTTCGATTGCCATTCTTCTGGCTGATTTGTTTGATCCATCAACCTCTGGCACCAAATAGAAATATGGCGGAATGTCATCAGAAATTACTTCGGAATGTCATCTGTTTGAGCTGTTTGATTTTCTATTTTGTGTTATTCGGAAGTCCCTCTTCTTGGCATCCAGAACCGGATCATACCCAGATTCATGACTTCACAGTGACTGCGGCCGGCCAGAGGTTGTTGGAATTCAACCCTTCATTTTTTTTTACAGCTGTAGATTCATTCCACATGTGCACCATCACATCCCCATGATTGCTTGGTAGTGTTATACTTATACCCTTGGTAGTTTTATCTTATAGATCCTAATTTTTGTTGTGAAACTATCCCAATTATCTCCCCATCTGTGAGATCACAAACGCCCTCAAACCCTGCCTGAGTTGTAGCAAGGCGCAATCTCCCAAAGTGATCAGAGCTAACCTCTGACAGTCCTTGCGTTTGTCAAAACTCCCAAGTCAGGTTTTTCACAAGTGAGGCTCTTTAATGAAGTTCACAGGCATGGTTAGTTTACCCACTGGTTTGTGTGTACATACAATGTATATATGATATGCTATGCTATGCTATGATATGATATGATATGATCATCAACTACCACTCCGAAACCGGTCCATGCCTGGGTCCCAAGCGACTCATCCACCGAAGCGAACTGGTTTTCCATCACCGTGGCTTCCATTGACTATGGTATTTTGATATGTATACACCATATACCATCTGGTTATTTAACATAGCCATGGAAAATCCCGTAAATAAATGGAGGTTTAGTTAGCTGGGAAAATCATCTATTTCTATGGACCATCTGTACCATGGCTATGTTAGTCATAACCAGAGGGTACCATTTATATACCGTAGAGTGCTTTGATTATACAATGGTTTTTTCCAGTTATACCACCGGTTATACCAGTGAAGTTATACCACCATGATTCATACTTGATACTTGTCAGAGACCTTGGGGACTTGGAGTTCTGTTCACCAATCAACTGCGAAAAACCCCCCTCCGGTATCCTCAAATATGGGAAATCCTCCCATTAAAATGTGCACCTAAATTATTAAAAAAACATCAAACTATATCAACGGTTGATGTTCCAAGACATGTTTTGATATTGAGTCATGAATATAACTTAGGCTATGTTTATAGATATTTCTTTATATGTCCATCTACCGTCCGGTCATCAAACATGGAAACCGCGCCTGGCTGGAATCTTCCCCATTTAGTTCCATGATTTTCCCAGCGAAGAAAACCTCCAATTTCGTGAATTTCCCAGCTTGCCACGTTTGATGTCACCGGTGGCTACCATCTATTTAAAAAAAAAAAAACACATTCTGGTTGGTGGTTGACCTGCCCCTCTGAAAAATATTAATCAGTTGGGATTATGATTCCCAATATATGGAAACATAAAAAATGTTCCAAACCACCAACCAGCTTTCATATTATCCGAATCATATCCCAGTTATGGCTATCTCACTATGAAATCTCCCATAATCCTAGGATATCCAACTTAATTATCCCACTTTCCCATGGAAATATCCCCATCAAAAATCCCATGCAAAGCCGAAAAATCACAATTTTTCTGGCCAAAATCTCTCAGTTTTCCCTATGATTGCTAGTTGAATCCCATGGTTTTTTTGCATTCTACGATGCGAATGGCCTAAACTCCGCCATTTTTCCTATGATGTCTAATGTCAACCCCGGATGAGACTAAACCATAGTTTATGAAAATCAGGGGGGTGCTTTTCCAATAGTCAATCTGATACTTGTATACATGGTATCCCCCCCCAATTAAACAGCCGGGCTAGGGGTTTATTAATCCAGGGTTGACATTATATTGATATGTATATGTGTAATGGTATACCCAATAACTATGGTTTATGGTACGCAAATAACGAACTAGTTACTGGGGCGAATCTAAACCAACGTTCACATCACTGGGGGGCCTCACATTGTATGATGTCTATCCATATTCCCATAAACTTCTCCATCACCATCTTCGGTCCCCTGCCTCGATACAGGCCAGCAGAACGGTCGTTGCCCCCAAGGCGGAAGTTCCTGCAAACGCTTCCTGCGAACGGTCGAGCAGCTTCGGTTCCGTTCCAGGGTTCAGAAATCCATCTGGCAGTATGAAGAAATGGGGATTTTCATGGTGAATTTCATGGTGATTTAATGGATTTTAATGGGATTTTAATGGATTTTAATGGGATTTTAATGGGATTTTAATGGGATTTTAATGGGATTTTAATGGGATTTAGCCTCTGGTCATGTGGTGGAGTTTGCGAACTTGAAAAGTTGCCCATAGAAAGTTCGTTGCTTTACCGAACTGAGTTCGATGGTGATTCTCCAGTTACCCTCTGGTAAACATACAAAAAGCTATTGAACATGGCCATAGAAATAGTGAGTTTTCCCATGAAAAATGGTGATTTTCCAGCTGTAAAATGGTGATTTTCCATAGTATTTTGTATGTTTACCAGAGGGTACACGTTTACAAAAGAGGGTTTCGACAAGGAGATGTCGTTCACAAAATCGGTTGGATCCGACTCGGACATCCTGGTCTTCTTGCTGGCTTGCACCAAAAAAAAACATGTCCTATGGCCAAAGACATAGAGTTTCTTAATATGTACTGCATACATATACATGTACATACATGTACGCGAGTATCAACAATATCGAGTGTTCTCCAAATCAAACCAGAAAGTATCCCCACATCTATTGGCAGTTGCTTGCCCATCCCACTTTCATTGGGGGATACAGTGGTTCTAATATGTTCTAATGCTATTTCTCTTGGTTTGGGTGCCATGAGTTCCCGCATCTGTCCTATCCAAAATTCTCGACCTCAAAATGGGATGGTTTTGATGTGCTAAATCCATCTTGTTGTTGGTCAAAACCCAATTGTGATGGCTTCAATCTGGCATTTCTCATGCTGAAATTTGGGTCTCTGGTGATAAACCTTTTACCATGGCCAATCTTAGATACCAACCGCTGATGAGATAAATAAATCAAAAAAACAAACTACTTCAATACCTATTATCCCCCCATGGCTATATCACGAAATCCCCATTGTATTCACTAATAATATCCTCACAAGGTGGTGCCCCCAAACGTGATGCGAACGTTGGTTTATAAACCTTATGAACTAGTTCCATATATCTACCATATATCTACCATAAGCCATAGAATTCGCTTAGTTTAACCAACTTTACCAACATCAATTGATGATAGACCATCATCAATTTCTTGCTCAAGTCCGAAGAATTTGGGCTGGAGATATCCTCATGTTATCCCCAGTGTATCCCCATGAAACCATCGAGCTTCACCAGGTCGACCAGCATCCTTCAGCATAGAGAGCACCCATGCTCCATGCTCATCGCGCGCGCAAGACTCCATGACCTCTTGGGACACAGAGACAGCTACCCTGAAAAACGAAGAGTTTAGCTACAGGATGGGGCCCCAGTTCGTTAGCTAAGTTGGTTTATAACTACAAAAACAATAGTGTATGATACTTATAACTATATTTAGATGGGGTTATGAACCAACTTGTAACTGGGGGGCCCCATCCTGTATGGTATGACCTATTTATAGATGATTTACTTATTAAGAATGGTGATGTTCCATTGCTCTGTTAGTTTACCAAAGGTTAAGTTGGTTTATAACTGGCTTAACGGACGGATTTATGGTGGACATATTATATATATATGATTGTGTATATATATATACTTATGGGTTCGGAACTTTCAGCTTTCTACTGGATAAACATGAGGATTTAAGCCACGAGTACATGGAAATAGATCAAAAAAATGGGGTATGGTCATCCCATTTCATGCGAATCCTGAAAACATGGGTATCTAAATCCCCAACTGAAAATGGATTAAGGACCATCACCCAAGAACTGCACAATCTACATCAATCGACCCAAGTTTTGAGCATGCCACATGATAAGATATCCATTATCACCAGAACATATGTACAGCATCAAGGGAGTCATCAATCAACCACTAACATCACTTGGGTATATAGGGATTCAACCACACACTGTGGTTGACCGGTCAGTAATGATCTTAGAAATCCCAAGTTCTATAAATTTGGGAGGTTGGTGGCTCCATCACCAAAGGAGAAAAAGCCTCGTTTTATGAGTCAAATGGGGGAGACCAATGAACAATTTTCGCAAACGGCATCCATTCAAAACTGGCCACAATTCTAAGCAAACTTAAAATTAGAACTGAACTTAAGAGTTGCCAAAAATGATGTTGCAACAGCAACATCTTTGGGATTGGTTCCATTTATCATCCAGATCAGCGAATTCGCCGCGGGCCTTTTGGCATTGCATCAACAATTCGCGAGGCAGAACATCCGGCGCGATGCCTAGGCCCCAGGCCGCCAGACCCAGTCACAACGAGAATTCTGGGCGCCGTTCTTTTAATCCACATCCATTTTGAGCTGTTTTTGTTGGGGGATGTTGATGATGGCATTGGGTTTACATGGGTTTACCACATAAAGTTGAGGTTTGTCATGACTGAAATGATGGGACAACATATGGGAAAGGCCATGGGAATTTCCAGCCATTGGGACGTCATTCGCACCATTGGGATGGTCCACGGGGTCCACGCCGGAGGATAGGTCAGTCATGGCACCACCCCTGTCGTTGACCTGAAAAATGTGTTGTTTATGGATGATCATTCCAGTGAATCTTATTTCTGGCTTTCGATCCATATAAAATTTCTGAAATGCTTCCAGAGAAAGTCACCAAACTCAGATCTCGTTTCAAAGGCTGAGGTTTGTAGTGTAAGAATCCAGTTTTTTTGGGGTGTGGTTTAGGGTTTTGGGTGACTTACTGCAATGACAAAATAAATATTGGGTTCACCAGTGAGTTTGCTCTTGATTTGATTTGGTAGAGGAAAAAAAGGCACACATGTTGCAAAACGAGAGTACATTAGGCATTGCCATCCATAATCGGGGATATTCCCTTACACAGCCCTTGATTTTTTGGCCTCTTCTAGGCCTTCTTTTATCGTAAGTGACGCCGAACGGCCCATCTTCTGAACACCAGAAACTCCATCGCAAACGCCCAGCCTTGACGCTTGAGGCTGGGAGGGGGGGCTGGAGACCCAACATGGTGCTCCCTATCAATGGCAGTGGAGCTTTTTTTCTGGAGCTACCTAGCATATTTTTTCAGGAAGGATTACTGTGGGTATAAGTGGTGATGATGATGATGATGATGATGATGGATAATTATCGCTTTAAACACCTGGCTTCGGGATGACCAATGGCCATGGCGGAAATCACGGGCAAGGCCCGGATCAATTTTTACTCTTTAGCCGCGGCTAAGGTCCAAGGCCATTTGCTGCCATAGAAAACGGCATCTGCGTAGATGTACTGTTGTTGCCTCATGGGTTCGGCTTCCAGGGCTGAAAGATATGTTGGTTACAGGATGTTTTGCCCGTGATGTGAACGCTGATTTTTTTCCCCCCATTTTCATGGGAAATCTATGGAAAATCTATGGGAAATATGGGAAAATGGTTTATATGATAATCCCCGTGAATACGAGTTCGTTATATCATGTTATATCTACCATAAACCATAGAATTCGTTAAACCACTTTTTTCAGGCAACTGAACGCTATCTTGGGGACCCCATCCTGTAGACTGTAGGGGTACTATATTCAGAAGCATTTACTTTTGCTGATTGGGATTCTAATCATTGAGAAATAGATATTGAGAAATATTGGGATATTTCGAACCATCATTACTGAGATATATTTTTGGATAGTTGGGATAATTCCCCCCACTCTTACTAACCATCATTCCAGTGATGTAAAACAGGGAAATCACTATAACTCAACCATATAGATGACCTAAAAGCATTGACTTTTGGTGATGATGCTGGAATTTACAGAACAAGAATCCCCAATAGTATGGGAACCCTATAGAAATGAGGGTCCAATCATTGTGGTCCCTGTAAATTCGATGGATGATGATGGTGATGATGATGATTTGTTCAGTCATTTTTGGTTCATCCAGATAGTGTTCCAAATGCTGGCGAACCCTAGGAAGGTGTTTAAAAAAAAAAAACAACCCCAAAGATGGCCTCAGAAGGTGTGTGGAACTGTAAGGAATGATGGATGGTTTGAGTTCTCATGGATCATGGTTCCTGATTTTTACTGAAAATCGTCCTGATCAAAACAAGTAGTTGCCTCCGGGCAATCAAACTCAGCAATGGCCGTGGCCATGTTTACTGTGTATCATCCTCAAGACCATCATGCGCAACAGGAATCTACCAGAAACATGTGGAGGTTCATCTCCATGCTCAATATCAGCCAGTGACTCAGGAATCCAAACTGCGGCGATTCCAAGTCCCTCATGAAAGTGGTTATATAATTTGTCAGACTTATTTTCCACGTGTAGTACAACAACAACACAAAGTGCCAAGAAGGCTGCGCGAGGCATGTCAAAATTCGCACCGCGCCGCAACGAGAGCGATCCAACACTTAAAAGTACCGAGAGGGTTGCGCGAGCGATATCAAAGTTCCCACTGCCCCACAACGAGAGAGATCCGACACAGTCAAAGTCATGAGAGGGTTGCACGAGAACATATTAGATGTTCACAAAACACTGCGTGCACCACGAAAAATGAGCATTGAAAATGTGAAAAAGGATGTCTTAACTAGGTCTCAGCCACTTTGTCAAGGTCTACAAACGACAACAGTTTCACAAAACGCGAGCATACCTTGATCTAAATTTGCCAAAAATGGAGATCAGTGTGTACATTGAAAACTGGGGAAGCCGCGAAAATCCACAAAAAATGCGGGACTACTGCATCTGGCCGGCGAACCTTAAATCCCCATGATGATAAATATATGATCATGGTCTTTTTCTAGATGCACCATTCTTCTCTAGATGATCTTCCTTCATCACTTAGATTTTTTGGGTGATCTGTTCAGAACTGACCATCTGAAATGATGATGTCTTTTGTTCGATTGTGGGAATGACGTCATGTCGTTGCTATTTGGGTGGATCACAATTCAAGGCCCTCTGTTCTTACATTGTACTGGTTGGGTCATTCGGATATAGGGTAGTCCAATATGGGTTTTGAACACTGCTCCATTAGCTCATAGCCAATCATAGTTCCAATATCTTATAATCACCATGATAATCACCATGAAGCCTAGTTTAATCCCCAGATTCATGTTGGTTTTCCAATTGCTAAAGCCCAATTTTTTTCATCAGACCCAAGTGAGACACCGTTGAGATCCTGACTCCTTGAAAGGATGCTGACGTGCCGCGGAAGCAGCCTCAAAGCCTCAGAGGGGACTTACCCTGTAATCTAATAGCTATGGAAGCCACCATAGAAATATATAGATGATTTAGTTATTCAAAGGTTGATTTTCCAGTTCGCTATGTTAGGTTACCAGAGGGTATAAGCCCACAATTCAAAAAAAACTGGGCCAACCTACTAATTATCCTACTTGCACCTGGGTTTTTTTGATCCATTTACTAACTTAGGTGAACCGCCAAGTACATCTTGTTCGAAAAAGAGCATGGCTCATCAAGACAATAACCTACAAGAATCAAAACATCTTCGGATGTTGTCCACATGGGGTTCAAAGAGGGCCTTGCTTCGTCCAAGTGACGAAGCGGCTTCTTCGCCTGCCGGGCATCTCTCCCAGTGGAAGATGTTGGTCATGGGGATTCACAGACAAGATGAGAATCCACAATATGAAGGATTGGAAAAACAAACGCAAAAAACCATCAACCAAGCATCATCAAGCATCCGCATATCTTTGGCGGTATGAATTGGTGCATTCCTCATTAAAACTTATCAACCCCTAAGTTTTTGAAATTAATCTCCATGTTTGCTTTTTTAATCCGCAGTTTCTGTCGAGTAAACCCCGTGCTGGTTGGGTAATATCCCCAGTTCTATGTTCAACATCAAATCTGGGATCTAAAATCTTTAGTTTCTATGCATTCTTAGTACCTGTCCCAAAGATTTCTCAGATTTTACCCAAACATCTGGATCAAAATATGGCTATGGGTCAAAATTGAGCACCCCAATAATTGGATGGTTATTACTAAATCTAGACCTGAATCTCTGGTCCCTCAAGTCATGGAAAATCTTGGCCCATACCCATATTGAGGTGTCCTAAAATAGGTGTACCCCTAAATCATGCATGTCAATACCACTTTCCAGATCATCCATTTTTGAGGTACCTCCGTTTATGGAAACCCCCATATTTATCCATATTTCACCTGAAAAGTTCCGCCATTTTGCGACGACGCCCAGCGACCGCGCACCTCATCTGGTCTTTCGGGGAGTCGACTTGGCAAAGAGCGCCTTTTTTGGTGCAGGATCGTGAACTGAAAAATCTGGGAATCAAAGGTGACACTTCAAAATCTTCTATGAATATTGGAAAAACATCGGAAAAACGTGGGAAAACCATGGGGAAAGATTTTTTTTGATTTGAACATCCTCGAAGAAATTTTCGTGTTTTAATGATTTTTAATGGGAAAATCATCGAAATCAATGTGATGGTCCCCATTTGTACCGAACGTCAACCCCATCAAAACCATCTATAACTGGTTGGTGGTGGTTTTAACCATCTTGAAAAATCATGGAGTTCGTCAATGGGTTTCGGATGACATCCCATATATATATATCATATATATATCATATATATATATCATATATATATATCATATATATATATATCATATATATATATATGAAATGGAAAATAATCCATTCATGTTCCAGTCACCACCAACCAGATAAATGTCATTTCCGAACTATAAAAACCTCCATTTCATACGGGGATTTCCCAGCTTGCCACGCTTGATGACACAAGATGAAAGTGTCCATCTTGCGGCACCAAGTCCTGGTTTGACCACATCTTGGCGGTGGAAATTTACGGAATCACCTGGGTTTTCCCAAAAAAAAGTCGTGGCGTATCAATGCAATCTTATCATGAGTGGGATTTCCTATGGACAATCAATCATGTCAATCATCTGATATTTGGGTCTGAAAATGCGGCAAGATTCCCATGGTATTTTTTGTTTCGGAAAAATGATGCGGATCAAGATCAGTACCCCGCTGGGATGTGCACTGCCCGATTGGCAGCTGCGGTCGGGTCATGAGTGAATTCAACGAAAGTCAGAGGAATTCAAAAGTGATTCCAAGCTGGGTAGACGCCATCATTATGACTCTAGAAAATTGGTTCCATGTCTGTTGGTTTGATGGACACTTTTTGCTCTCGCAAATTGACTGGGTCGTTCAAAGGCTTGCGAGTCAGCTGTGGACAGCAAACTCGGGCGTTGCTGTTTTCTCTGAAGTAAGTACATTCACAGTTTTTGTAAGTGCAATCGTTCGTTGCTGTGAATTCCACAACATTTGTGCCTTAAATCTCCAAATTTTTGCAGGCTTTGTCGGCCATCGTCCTGAATTTTCATGGAATCTCCCATCTTGATGTAAAGACCTAATGTTTTTCTACTGACTTGTGCACTCTGAGCAGCCGAAAAACCAGAGATCTCAGTGGTGAGCATTCAGATGACAACAGGATCTGTCCCAGTCTGTATAGATGGTCTTAATACATGCGCGCAATAAACAAGAATGACAATATCATCACAAACACCTCTGCGGAGATGACTCATCACATAATGTGGTATGGCCCAACATATATTGCGTCCGATCAATACATACCAACCAGTCTGCAGAAGGGGATGCCCTCAGCAATCCCCTCACCAGAAAAGTCGACTGAGGAAGCACGGATTCCCCCAATTAATGCGGTAAAACCCCAATCACTTAACCATCAACAAGGGCAGTTTTATCACCAACTATAGGGGGAAATTGATCGAAGGAAGTTTAGAAGTCAAACTTCCGACAATATGGACAGATGAAAAGCAGAGGTGGAGCAGAAGAATAGACAAGAGAAGCGCAGAAGAGAGAAGATCAGAGAAGAGAAAGAGCCAGAAGAAAGAAGATGCCGGTGCGCAAAAAGGTAGGGAAGTCGCGAAATACTGTGTTTTTTTCCAATGATTTGTGGCTCCGGAGGGTCGAACAGTAGGCTCGCTAAAGCAGCGGTGCGGAGCCAGCTGGCCAGATGAGAGATGAAAAATTGCACGCCGTTGTGGCGCGAAGCACATTTCGAAGTCAAAATGTACAAAACACACCATGCTCGGACCACTTTTGGAAATTGAGATGTCGAAAAAGTGCACGCCATTGTGGCGCGAAGCACATTTCGAAGTCAAAATGTTCAAAACACGACATGTTCGGACAACTTTTGGAGGTTCAGGTGTCGTTTCGCGTGGCAGGGGCAAGGGATTGTGGACCCTGTCAAAAGTGAGCAAAACGTGAGGGTTTTGTAGCATTTCCAAAAACGATGGCAGGCGTGGGACATTTGCAGAGGATCTGGAAAGATGCATTTTCCGTGGCAGGTGCAGTACAAGAGACATGTTCATCAGAGCTGTTAGGAGGTGCGGGCGCTGATTTCTTGCGAGGGGTTGCATTTTGGAGCCTCCGGTCTTCAAGTTTGCTGAGATGATTTTGCGTGACAGGTGCAGCATATCGTATGACCCGGTAGCACTTTTTCGTGGCAGGCGCAGTAGTTTAGACAGGTGGAATCGAAAAAACGCAAAACGCATTGGTACGAGGCCGTCAGCTCTGCACTCAACTTTCCATTTTTGAAGGAAGTCTCGCAGAATTGCTTCGTTTTTGATGTTGTCAACTTCAAAAAATGAGGAAGTCTCGCAGGACTGCTTCGTTTTTTAAGTTCAAAAATCGAGGAAGTCTCGCAGAATTGCTGCCTTTTGTTAAAGAAAAATGAGGAAGTCTCGCAGAATGCCGCGTTTTTGAGGTTGTGAAGTGCAAAGAGGAAGTCTTGCTGAATTGCTGCATTTTTTGATGTTGTCAAGTTCAAAAACTGAGGAAGTCTCGCAGAATAGCTTCGTTTTCAAGCTTGCAGATAGATAGACAGACAGACAGACAGCCAGAGAGATAGAGAGAGAGAGAGATAGATAGACAGATAGATAGATAGACAGACAGACAGATAGAGGGAGAATAGATAGATAGATAGATAGATAGATAGATAGATAGATAGATAGATAGATAGATAGATAGATAGATAGATAGATAGATAGATAGATAGATAGATAGATAATAGATAGATAGATAGATAGATACGCCACTGCTACAACTACACTCTCTGACATCGCACAAGTTCTTGTGCCGGAAAGACAGCCAACCAGTTTGTGTGAGCTGTCAATCCCCATCTGACTGCTACAACTACAAATACAAATATACTACGCCACATTACACTACACTAATTACACTACACTACACTAATTACATCTAATTACACTACACTACACGAATGACACTAACAACTACAACTACAACTACTACTACTACTACTACCACTACTACCACAACTACAACTACAATTACAACTACACTACACTACACTAATTACACTGCAGTACACTACAACTACCAATACAACTACAACTACAACCACACTACATTACACAACACTACACTACACTGACTACATTGCACTACACTACAACTGCAGCTGCAACTGCAACTACAACTACAACTACAACTACCACTACATCACACTACACTACACTACACTGCACTGCACTGCACTGCACTACACTACACTACACTACACATACTACACTACACATTGTACACTACACTGCACTGCACTACACTACACTACACTAATTGCACTGCACTACACTACAACTACAACTACACTACACTACACTAATTACACTGCAATTACAGACAGCTACAACTACACTTTACTTTACACTAGACTAGAGGGAATGTGGACGTTAAGGCGCGCGCGTAAATTTGGGTCATTAATAGCGCAAAAGTTGGGGTCACTAAGCGCGCATAAACTAGGTCATTCCAAGCGCAGAAGAGTTGTATATATATTATATATATATATTATATTAAATATATATAATATATATATTTCAAAA